GTCGATTGCTTTGCGTAGTATAGTCATTTTCACATTATTGATTCTTCCAATCCAAGAACATGGTATATGTCTCCACCATTTATGTCATCTTTGATTTCTTTCATCAGTATTTTATAGTTTTCTGAGTACAGGTCTTTTGCCTCCTTAGGCAGGCTCATTCCTAGGTATTTTATTCTTTTTGTTGCAGTGGTAAATGGGAGTGTTTCCTTAATTTCTCTTTCTGATTTTTTTGTTGGTGGTGTATAGGAATTTCAGAGATTTCTCTGCATTAATTTTGTATCCTGCAACCTTACCAAATTCATTGCTTAGTTCTAGCAGTTTTCTGGTGTTATCTTTCGGATTTTCTATGTATAGTATCATGTCATCAGCAAACAGTGACAGTTTTACTCCTTCTTTTACAATTTGTATTCCTTTTATTACATTTTCTTCTCTAATTGCTGGGGCTAGGACTTCCAAAACTATGTTGAATAAGAGTGGCGAGAGTGGACATCCTTGTCTTGTTCCTGATCTTAGTGGAAATGCTTTCAGTTTTTCACCATTGAGTATGATGCTTGCTGTGGGTTTGTCATATATGGCCTTTATTATGTTGAGGTAGGTTCCCTCTCTGCCCATTCTCTGGAGAGGTTTTATCATAAATGGGTGTTGAATTTTGTCAAAAGCTTTTTCTGCATCTAATGAGATGATCGTGTGGTTTCTATTCCTTAATTTTTTTGATGTGGTGTATCACATTGATTGATTTTTGTATATTGAAGAATTTTTGCGTCCCTGGGATAAATCCCACTTGATCATGGTGTATGATCCTTTTAATGTGCTGTTGGATTCTGTTTGCTAGTATTTTGTTGAGGATTTTTGTATCTATGTTCATCAGTGATATTGGTCTATAAGTTTCTTTTTTTGTGATCTTTTTTTCTGGTTTTGATATCAGGTTGATGGTGGCTTTGTAGAATGACTTAGGGAGTGTTTCTCCCTCTGCAGTTTTTTGGAAGAATTTGAGAGGGATTGGTGTTAGCTCTTTCGTAAATGTTTGATAGAATTTGCCTGTGAAGCCATCTGGTCCTGGACTTTTATTTGTTGGAAGATTTTAAATCACAGTTTCAGTTTCATTACTTATGATAGGTTTGTTTATATTTTCTAATTCTTCCTGGTTCAGTCTTGGAAAATTGTACCTTTCCAAGAATTTTTTCATTTCTTCATGGTTATCCATTTTATTGCCATATAGTTGTTTGTACTAGTCTCTTATAGTCCTTCGTATTTCTGCAGTGTCAGTTGTGAGTTCTCCTTTTTCATTTCTAATTTTATTGATTTGTGTCTTCTCCCTTTTTTTTTATCAGTCTTGCTAAGGGTTTATCAATTTTGTTTATCTTCTCAAAGAACCAGCTTTTAGTTTTATTGATCTTTGCTATTGTTTTCTTTGTTTCTGTTTCATTTATTTCTGCTCTGATCTTTATGATTTCTTTCCTTCTACTGACTTTGGGTTTCCTTAGTTCTTCTTTCTCTAGTTGTTTTAAGTGTAGGATTAGATTGTTTATTTGAGATTTTTCTTGTTTCTTGAGGTGAGGTTGAATTGCTATAAACTTCCCTCTTAGAACTGCTTTTGCTGCATCCCATAGGTTTTGGGTCATCTTATTTTCATTGTCATTTTTTTCTTTCTTTTTTTTTTTTTTTTAGCGGTACGCGGGCTTCTCGCTGTTGCGGCCTTCCCCATTGAGGAGCACAGGCTCCGGATGCGCTGGCTCAGTGCCCATGGCCCACGGGGCTAGCCTCTCTGTGGCATGTGGGATCTTCCTGGACTGGGGCACGAACCCGTGTCCCCTGCAACGGCAGGTGGACTCTCAACCACTGCGCCACCAGGGAAGCCCTTTTCTATGTATTTTTATAATTTATTCTTTGATTTCTTCAGTGATCTCTTGGTTATTTAATAGCACACTGTTTAGCCTCCATGTATTTTTGTTTTTTACAGTTTTTTTCCTGTAATTGCTTTCCAATCTCATAGCGTTATGGTCAGAAAAGATGCTTGATATGATTTCAGTTTTCTTAAATTTTCCAAGGCTTGATTTGTGACCCATGATGTGATATATCCTGGCGAATGTTCCATGTGCACTTGAGAAGAAAGTGTATTCTGCCACTTTAGGGTGGAGTGTTCTATAAATATCAATTAGATCTATCTGGTCTATTGTATCATTTAAATCTTGTGTTTATTTATTTATTTTCTGTTTGGGTGATCTGTCCATTGGTGTAAGTGGGGTGTTAAAGTCCCCTACTATTATTGTGTTACTGTCGATTTCCCCTTTCATGGTTGTTAGCATTTGCCTTATGTATTGATGTGCTCCTATGTTGGGTGCTTAAACATTGATAATTGTTATATCTTCTTGGATTGATCCTTTGATCATTATATAGTGTTCCTCCTTATATCTTGTAACAGTCTTTATTTTAAAGTCTGTTTTATCTGATGTGAGTATTGTTACCCCAGCTTTCTTTTGATTTCCGTTTGCATGGAATATCTTTTTTCCATTCCTTCACTTTCAGTCTGTATGTGTCCCTAGGTCTGAAGTGGGTCTCTTGTAGACAGCATATATATGGGTCTGGGGTTTGTATCCATTCAGCCAGTCTGTGTCTTTTGATTGGGGCATTTAATCCATTTACATTAAGTTTATTATTGATATATATGTTCCTATTACCATTTTCTTAATTGTTTTGGGTTTGTTTTTCTGGGTCTTTTTCTTCTTTTGTGTTTCCTGCCTAGAGAAGTTTCTTTAGCATTTGTCGTAAAGCTGGTTTGGTGGCGCTCAATTCTCTTAGCTTTTGCTTGTCTGAAAAGCTTTTGATTTCTCCCCAAATCTGAATGAGATCCTTGCTGGGTAGAGTAATCTTGGTTGTAGGTTCTTCTCTTTCATCACTTTAAGTATATCCTGCCACTCCCTTCTGGCCTGCAGAGTTTCTGCAGAAAAATCAGCTGATAAGCTTATGGGGATTCCTTTGTATGTTATTTTTTGTTTTTCCCTTGCTGCTTTTAGTATTCTTCTTTGAATTCATTTTTTGTTCATTTGATTACTATGTGTCTTGGTGTGTTTCCTATGGTTTATCCTGTATGGGACTCTCTGTGCTTCCTGGACTTGGGTGACTATTTCCTTTCCCATGTTAGGGAAGTTTTCAACTATAATCTCTTCAAATATTTTCTCAGACCCTTTCTTTTTCTCTTCTTCTTCTGGGACCCCTATAGTTCGAATGTTGATGTGTTTAGTGTTGTCCCAGAGGTCTCTGAGATTGTCTTCAATTGTTTTCATTCTTTTTCTTTATTCTGTTTCTTTGCAGTTATTTCCACCATTTTGTCTTCCAGTCTGCCTCTGTTTTTCTGTTATTGATTCATTCTAGTGTATTTTTTATTTCAGTTATTGTGTTGTTCATCTGTTTGCCTGTTCTTTAGTTCTTCTAGATCTTTGTTAAACATTTCTTGTATTTTCTCAATCTGTTCCTCCATTCTATTTCCGAGATTCTGGATCATCTTTACTATCATTACTCTGAATTCTTTTTCAGGTAGATTGCCTATTTCCTGTTCATTTATTTGGTCTTGTAGGTTTTTACCTTGCTCCTTCATCTGTCACATATTTTTTTGCCGTCTCTTTTTTTAAATTTTTTTAATGAGTGGGATTGTGTTCCTGTCTTACTGGTTGTTTGGCCTGAGGCTTCCAACACTGGAGTTTGTAGGCTGTTCGGTAGAGCTGGGTCTTGGTGCTGAGATGAGGAACTCTGTGAGACCTCACTCCGATGAATATTCCCTGGGGTCTGAGGTTCTCTGTTAGTCCAGTGGTTCCAACTTGGAGCTCCCACCGCAAAAGCTTCAGCATGACCCCAGGCTCGTGAACCAAGATCCTGCAAGCCATGTGGGGCGGCAAGGAAAAGAAAAGAAAAAAAAGAACAATAACAAAGTAAAAAATAAAATGAGACTAGGAAACTAACAGATATGTTAGGATGAATATAAAAATAAAAATATAGATGAATCAATGACCGGAAGGTACATCAGTACCATGGTAGTAAAAAAGAGGAGGAGCTAAAAGAAAAAACAAAAAAGGGGGAGGAAGGGCCTTGGCTGTGGGGGACAGGGCCTAAGCAAGGGTGAGGTTTGGGTAGTGGGCGGGGCCAATGCTCAGGACCCACAGGGCTGGAAAAGGCCCTGGAGGCTGTGGAGGGTGGGGCGTAGGCTCAAGGAACAGAAGGGGCCCAGGCATGCCCTCACCCCTGGTCTCAGAGGGCAGGGGACCTCATCATGGAGCTCAGCAGGCTCCCCGTGTCTGAGTGGGCGGGGCAATCACCCTCCACTCCTCTGCCGCTCCTCCTGGAGGGCCCCTCCCGCCTGCCTCTCCTGATCCCCCTGCCCACCCTCCTATGCCCCCAGGACCCACGCAGCCTGGATGGGGCTCTGAAGCGGGGTACCAGCTTGGGAGCTCAGCAGGCTCCCTGGCCTGAGTGGGCCAGGCAATTGCCCTCTGCTCGTCTCCCACTCTTCCTGGAGAGTCCCTCCCACCTGAGTCTCCTGATCTCCCCAGCCTCAGGGGCACAGATCCTGTCTGGCCTCCACTTCTCCTCCCCCCTCAGTCCCCCTACGTCCTACCAGTTCATTGTGGGGTTCCTTCCATCTCCTTGGGGGTCAGAGTCCCCCACCAGCGGCCAAAAGGCACCCTAGTTGGGGGGAGAGGCTAACTTGGTGTCTTCCCACACCACCGTCTTGACTCCACCTCTAGACCTGCTTACTGTTTTTAAGGACAATCTCTAACATCTGATATTTCTAAACAAGACTCATTTGAAAAATACCTGTCATTTCTCATGGACTTAATGAAACTTTTTGCTTTTTTTTTTTTTTTTTTTTTTTGCTGTTCGCGGCCCTCTCACTGTTGTGGCCTCTCCCATTGCGGAGCACAGGCTCTGGACGCGCAGGCTCAGCGGCCATGGCTCACGGGCCCAGCCGCTCCGTGGCCTGTGGGATCTTCCCGGACCGGGGCACGAACACGTGTCCCCTGCATCGGCAGGCGGACTCTCAACCACTGGGCCACCGGGGAAGCCCAACTTTATGCTTTTATATCTGTCATTTCTCATGGGCTTAATAAAACTTTATGCTTTTTCAGCTGTGTAAAAGTTTAGAAAATTGATTCATTTTTTTCTTGCTTGATTCAACTATGTTAAAGACAGTCATCGGAGATGATGTTAATTTTTGCCTTTGTGTCTTATCTTCTTCAGTGTTTTTTAAACTTACCAAACAAGGAACTTCCCTGGTGGTCCAGTGGTAAAGAATCTGCCTTCCAGCGCAGGGGACGTGGGTTCAATCCCTGGTCAGGGAACTAAGATCCTGCATGCAGTGTGTCAACTAAGCTCTTGCACCTCAATGAGAGAGCCTGCATGCTGCAACGAAAGATCCCACATGCCTCAGCGAAGACCCTGCATGCCGCAACTAAGACCCGATGCAGCCGAAAAATAACCCCACAAAAAATTTGCCAAACAAGGACACAGGTAGGTTCACTTATTGAATATTTGTTACGATCAGTATGAAAACGCTGATTTATAAATATTTCTGTTTGGTACAATTCTAGGTATAAAAGTAAAAAGATGTAAGAAAGGCAAAAGTAAAAAGCTATATAAAAAACAGGAAAACAAGGAGCACATAAAATTATTTTTAGAACTAAATCACAGCAGCTTTTACTTTAGTACCAACTATGACAAGATTTTTTCAACTTTTAAATTGGAATATTTTCAGTAATTCAAAAGTCTTGGAAGAATGGTATAAGTAACAGCATATATTAATAGCTTTTACCTCAGTTTACTGATTGTTAAATATTGTTAATATTTTCTAACAATCTAAAAAGTTACATCTTTTATTTGGGTAGTTGAGAATTATATCTTGTTTCTGTTTTTTTTTTTTGGTAGTTTGCTTCTTGGTGATTAGGTACAGAGACAAAAAGACCCTGTGATAGAATCATCCCCTCACTTTCATCAGTGCCTACCTCGTGGTATCTGCTACTTGTGAGCCATTCATTTAGGGCATGGGTTCTCTTGGATCATAGCAAGGGGTGAAGAGGGGAAATAAGTGAATATTCTCTCTATAAGGTGTCTCCCTCCCCTCCCCCTCCTCTTTTTGATGAGTACTTACTGGTCTGAAGAATTAACCATGTGCATCAAAGCAGGGTGAATTCAATTTTCTTTTTTTCTTATCAAGTGAAGAAAGGTCAGTCTTTCTAGGTTTTTCTGGTGTAGTGTATCATCCATCAGAAAGTTTGCTATGATTTTGGATTCTGTTACATTTCCCACAAACCTGTCTTCAGAGTTAATAGTTTATAGCACTCTCGTTCAGATAAGAAGGATTGGCGCTGGAGGATTTATGATATCTAACCTAATTTTCCATCACCATACCTTGACCTTGGCTTTATAAGTTGTAGCCCATACAAAGCAATCGATTGCTACCAGATAGAGGCAAATGACCCTCTTTAACTCTAGGGCAATAGCTAATAAGGTCTTGATAATTGTGATTTATCCACTGTCAGCGGTGATTGCATGTGCCTCTCTGAAGCTGCCCTGAATTGATGGATGCAACCTGTATGACAGGAAGCCAGTTCCAGAGGCTTTCTCCTTTTATCCTTAGCATTGCCAGGGCTCCTAGAATGGGACCGATGAAGTCATTTTTCTTTCATTGTGGTTTTTTATAATGAAATACGGTAAAAATTCATCTTCTCTCGAGCACGCCATTTTTCCCTTGTCAGATCTACAGTCTTTCCTTGACTGAACCGATTTGTTATCTACAAAAGCAGTGGCCTTGCACTTCCCTTTTGATTCAAGGAGCTCTGGGTTGGCCAAGAGGAGTTTTCTTCTATAAATTTAGTAGTAGGTCAGCTCTTTCCTTAGCCAAGACATTTGGTTTCCCTTTTAATGAATTTGAGAGAAAAAGAAATATCTGTTATTGGTGACCCTCTGGAATACTTCAAACTATCTCATCCTTCGGGCATCATTGACCAACACCCTAGGCAGTAGCAAAACCCTGTGTTAGGAGAAACCAAAACTAATTTTTCTGTATGTCCCAGGATTGAAAGATACCTTAGTCATTAGTAAAAATGAGGATGTGGTAATCTGGATCCCTCTTGTTTAAAGACGTCATCACATACGAATTTGAGGAACACTCAGAGTCAAGCTCTTTGTGCTTCTGGCTTGTCTGAAGTGAAAGCCTGTTGGCATGTTCTTTAAAACACTGAATCATGGGTAATACTGGATTTACTATTATCAGTAAAACAAGAAAGTAGCTGGGGCAAGAAGAGAAGATCTTATATCCTGATGTTCAGCCCTGCCACAATGATACATTTTATATATTTTTTCCACTGGCTTTTGCTGGGTAGTATTTGATTTCAGTTCAATTTGCATCTGAACTCCTATATGCTTTTGTGTTTGTCCAGATTTATTAAATAAAAGTGTGTTAAGCATTTCTTGGGCACAGGAAAATGAAGACTCCTTCAAGCTTTCTCAGGCCCTTTCTTCAGTGTACCCCACCTTCCACATTATTATAATTGTCTGTTATGACACAGACCGCTAGTTCCCCTCAATATCCATTTTCCCTTTCTTCTGTACAGATAGAATTCCTTTTTTTTCTTTTTTAAAAATTAGTTATCTATTTTATACGTATTAGTGTATATATGTCAATTCCAGTCTGCCAATTCATCCCCCCCCCCCCCGCCGCTTTCCCCCCTTGGCGTCCATATGTTTGTTCTCTACATCTGTGTCTCTATTTCTGCCTTGCAAGCTGGTTCAAGTACAGACAGAATTTCTAGTTTTTAGCTGGGTGCATGGTTGCCCTGAGAATAAAGGCTACATTTCCCTGTACCCTTTGCAGCTAGTTGTGGCCATATGACTCTATTCTGGTCATTTGGGATGTGAGGGAAAGTAATGTGTATAGCTTCCAGAAAGAAGGGCATGCCCTTTCTTTTTCTCTTCTTTTACTGTGCTGAGTAGAATGTAAACATGACAGCAGGTCATCTTAGAGCTTGTGGACAATGGCAACCCTCCAAGGATGGTAGTGCAACAAGGTAGAAAGAGCCTTGGTCCCTGGACAACCCCATGGAATAGAGCAGATCTGTCAGCCCTACACCTTTATCTGGGCTGTTTCATGAGAGAGAGAGAAATCTTATTTAACTCACTGCAATTTGGGGTCTCTGCTTCACGCATCCGAACCTGTATTCTAATTAAAAACCTATTGTCTGGGGACTTCCCTGGTGGTCCATTGGGTAAGACTCTGTGCTCCCAATGCTGGGGGCCCGAGTTCGATCCCTGGTCAGGGAATTAGATCCTGCATGCCGCAACTAAGAGTCTGCACGCTGAAACTAAGAAGTCCGCATGCTGCAACTAAGACCCAGCGCAGCCTAAATAAATAAATAAGTGAATATTAAATAAAAAAAAAAGTGCTAAAAGATTTCTCAAAAAAAAAAAAAAAAACCCCCCCCCCCCCCCCAAACCTATTGTCGCCTTTCCCAGTGGACTGAAGCTCCTTGGGGATAAGCACTATGTTCTGGTCACCATTTGTGTTCAGCTAGTTCAGGACTAATTGGTTGGCTCTGGAGGTGGAACTGGAAACAGATTAGTTTTTTTCCTCCAAATGAAAGGACATTTTTAACGAGACACAATTACGTAGGGTACAAGTAAAACACAAGTAAACTTTTCTTCTGCCTCTTGCCTTCCTAGACTCAGTGGGGAGGGAAGGGGAAGGTCCCTAGGCAGAAAGGCAGGATAAGAAATAACCGGGCTTTGTCTAGTATCCATGGTCCACTAGGATGTCGCCACCCTCCCCTCTCTACTGTTGGTATGGTTGGAACCTAACCCTATATGCACCCTTGCCCTTCTGCCTAGGGGCTCTCCCCTTTCTTCCCCACAGAGTCTAGGAAGGCAAGAGGCAGGTGCATGTCCCATTGCCTTAGGCTATTCCACTGGGCTCTCCTTGAATGGGGCCTGCTCTGGGGTTCAGACTCTGGAAAGAATTTGTGCTGGTAGCCTAGGCAGCCTAATTACTATATCAAGGTAGACAGGCATTTGGGGGTTGGGTTACAGAATCACATTAAGGGCCAGATACTTAGGGGCTGGGACCCCCCCCCAGGCAAAAATGACTCATTGATCCTATAAAACATATGGATCCAAGCCAATTCTATGCTTACATTAAAAGCACCTTGTACCGTCATTGTCAAGTCATAAACCGTAACAATTGTTTGGACAAAGAGAATTTAATATATACACTGTTAACTAGATATAAAGTTGTTAACTAAGTAAGCGAAAAGGCAAGAAAAGAGCACCAACGCATCACAGAGACAGCAACTGCAGGAAGCAACTACCACTCACAGGGTTTGGGCAGCAAAGACTAGCATTACTAAAATTTAGACACTGGGAGGCGGGGCCTGTGGGTGGAGCTCAGGCCTCAGGGGCAGCCACAGCTCTACTGGGACCAGCATCTCTGAGCTTGGAGAAGGATTCCTGTGGGCTTGAGAACCGGACCACTAGGAAGGAGACAGCAGCTGGGATGAGGCTAGTGTTACACGTGTTGGAAAAACTGCAAACTGGATTTAAATACTTCCATGGGGGTGGAGGCAGACACATTGCTGGTGTGACGCTCACAGTACTTGTGAGCAGACAGGAGTCCCTTCTCTCTCTCTAACCTCCCAGTCTCCCTTGATCAGAGTGGAACCTGACAGGGAGACTGCTGGCCAGGCAGAAATGTGGTTTGCAGACGCCTAGTTCCAGCACCACAAGGCACAGCATAGAAAGATGGGTTTGGAGCTGAGAGACTAGAGCTTAGTAACTGGCACACACCTCAATAGTGTCTAAATTCAGACTGTTGCAAGTTGTGTCAACTAGCATGATAGGTAAGGCCTACAGACTTCAGCGACTTAAGGGACAATCTGGTGACTTAAAGGGAGAAAGATTTGTTCCAGGGAGATGAGGCAGATAAAACATCACAGGGCTGGTGATAGGAAATAAGTCTCAAAGAATGCAAAGGATTTCCATAGGCAAACCAGTGTAAGAAGGATGCTCCAGTGAGAAAGAACAATAGACTCAAAGACCCAAAGGCGGGTCCAAACCCTTAAAAAGACTGAGTTACAGGGACTTCCCTGGTGGCGCGGTGGTTAAGAATCCACCTGCCAATGCAGGGCACACGGGTTCGAGCCCTGGTCTGGGAAGATGCCACATGCCGTGGAGCAACTAAGCCCATGCACCACAACTACTGAGCCTGCGCTCTAGAGCCCGTGTGCCACAACTGCTGAGCCCACGTGCCACAACTACTGAAGCCCGCACGCCTAGAGTCCGTGCTCCACAACAAGAGAAGCCACCACAATGAGAAGCCCGCGCACCGTAACGAAGAGTATCCCTCAGGACAAAGCCTGAGCTACTCAAGCCTTTGGGCTTCCCTAGGATAAGGCAGGAGTTGGGGCATGACTGGGGGAACCCAGGACCAGCAACCTCCTAGGAATCTCACCCTCAGAGTAGGTAGGATTTTCTATCAATTCTTCCTCTCTAAGGGTGATGTTTTATGCTGGGCTGACTTGGACAAATTACTTAAAATTTCTGCTTAGGGAAGATTATTCCCACTTGATAAATAAGGAGACTGAGGCTCTACAAAGTTAAGTAACATGTCCATGATCACAGAAGCAGCGACTCAGATCACCTGATTTCCTACTGGACATCATTGCCTGCATATCCCTGTGGATTCTCCAGCTGAGCACGGCCAGCATGAATGCCTTCCCTTCCTTCACACCTAGCGCCAGACCTTCTTTCTGGATCTCTGAAGTCAGTTGGTGACTATATGGTTTGGGTTCCTTCCTTCTTTCTACCTGCATGCCCCTACCTTACCCCATACAATCAATCATGAAGTCTTGTAGATTTCACCTGCTAAATATACATTCTTATCTCTCTGTCACTGCTGGCTTGTCTTTATTCAGGTACTCACTTGATTGCTGCTAAAGCTTTCCATAGGTCTCCCTGTTTCCAGCTTTGTCCTTCTCCAATCCAGGCACCATTCTGAGGCCAGGGAAAGCTTTCAAAAACACAAAAATGTCATTCTCCTTCTTAAAAAGGCTTTGAATGGCTCCCATGGCTTCCTGGAGAAAATCCAAGATCCTTTATATTTCACAGTGAGGCCACCATAACATGGTCCCTATGAACTCCTCCAGCTTTGCTGGCCTCTGTCTCCCTATCTTGGGGTGGGGCAGGGGGACACCTGTGGCCAGGAAAACAGGGTCGAGGTTCACCTTGCTCCCTCCACTGACTAAGCTATGGGCAAGAAATCACAGTGATGCCACGTGGTGTTCTGTGTACCCCAGCAGGTCTCCTGCTTCTGATTTAGTGGCTGTGCTGCTCCAGCCTTTGCTCACTGCGGTGTAGCAGTGATGCAGACCCTGCGGGCTTCCATTTTCTCTGCTGAAATGAGTGTGTGAGGGTGCCTCTGGGAATTGCTTCTGTGCTCTCTTGTCTAGTCCTCTTCCTCTTTTTCTTTCTTTCTTCCTTTTTTAAAAAGTATAATTAGCCTTTTGTCTCATTGCACCTGAGAAAACAAGATGGGTCACGGGCAGCTCTCCTGGAGCCATATGAGAAAATTCAGCCAGGGTTCTCCTCTTGCAGTGGCTGCTCAAGCCAGCTGGTCTGATCCGAAAATGCCGCCTCCATAAGCGCTGCCAGTGTTCCTGATAGTACCCCAAGGATATCGGCTTCATTCAGTGGGACTAAGTGAACTTCCTGGACTGGGTCACCCAACATGCCTACCTTACCCCAGAAACAATGCTAGATCTTTGTACATAAAACAAACAAAAAGCGAAAACAAAACAAAACAAAAAACAAAAAAAAAAAGAAAAGAAAAAACTAACAAAGCAAAACAAAAACAACTTCAAAAGATAGTATATTTATATTAGACAGGAATCTTTTAATGCAAAGGGTAGAAACTCAATTCAAATTAGCTTAAGCCTAAAAGAGAATTTATTAACTTATTTAACTGGTAAATCTAGGGGTAGAGCTGGATCCAGGGATACAAATGTTATTATTATCATTATTATTTTTCTCTCTTTCTGTTCTGCTACTGTCTGTGTTGGCCACATTCTCTATTTCAAGATGTGTTCCCTGTGTGCAGGAGGTGAAGGGCGGCATGGCTGCAGCCACCCTAGAAGACCGAGAGCTTCTCTCTCTCAACATCTCTGTGTAAACTCCTGAGGAAAGACTCTGATTCATTCTGCTTTACTCATTTGTCCTACCTGCTCTCCCCCTCCCCTGCTCCCCTCAATCCCTGGGTCCAGGAGGAAGGGGAACACCACTTACTACAAAGGCCTAAGATCAGAAGCCCATTGCTATGGTCGAGGGGTGGAGAACTCTGATTGAGACTTCACCCAGAACCGCATGGAACTCGGGGGGCAGTTACCCAAAGAAATGGGGCTGTTGTTTTTAGAACATGGAGGAAAGGCATGTTGGGTAGACAAAAAAAAAAAAAAGACAACCAAAGAGATATCTCCACTATTATCACCTCCACTACAAACACCATCACTGTTATTGGAAACTACTGTGTTCTAGGCACAGAGCAGGTCCTTTATTACACAGCCTCTGTCATAACATTACATATGACACTCACCCTTTTATAGAAGAGGAAGCTGACGCTTAGAAACTTTAGCACACTGGCTCAGAGTCATGGAGCTAGTCTGTCTGAGGCCAGGCCCATGCATTTTGTACTGCACTAACCTTCTCCTGGTTGGGGAGTCCTCTGTCTTGACATTGTATGTTAATTATGGCTCACAGATGGCCCTATGAAGGAGCAACCGGAAGAGGACATGACTTTTAAAATTGACTTTTAGTCACATTGGCCAACTCATGTTTTTCTAATGTTGAAGGTGCATTTTTTTTTTAAGGGAATTCCTTTATTTTTATTATTTATTTATTTATTTATTTATGGCTGTGTTGGGTCTTCATTTCTGCGCAAGGGCTTTCTCTAGTTGCGGCAAGCGGGGGCCACTCTTCATCGCAGTGCGCGGGCCTCTCACTATCGTGGCCTCTCTTGTTGCGGAGCACAGGCTCCAGACGCGCAGGCTCAGTAGTTGTGGCTCACGGGCCCAGTTGCTCCGCGGCATGTGGGATCCTCCCAGACCAGCGCTCGAACCCGTGTCCCCTGCATTGGCAGGCAGATTCCCAACCACTGCGCCACCAGGGAATCCCTGAAGGTGCATTTTTATGATCCAATCTGTGGAATGAGTTTAAAGAACCAGTACTTTTCTCTCATGGGCTGAATGTGACTGCTGAGGTGAAGATGAGGAGGGATGAGTTATTATTATTATAATATTTTTATGTGAAAGGGGCATCCCACGGTATCTTGTGCTCAGCAAATGTGACTTTCCTCCTCCTCTCAAGAAACAAACCAACAAACTGGGAAAAAACCTCTCTCTTGATTTTCCAAAATAATCCCAGCTTCACTATGCTTCCCAGTTCTAATAGATTAGGACTGAGTTATTTAACTGGAACAGGGCTGCATAAGCTTCATGCCAGGGACATGAAAGCCCACCTACAGACATTTTAAATTCAGTGTTGCCAATAAGCATTTGTAAAAACAGAAGCCTACAAAGCAGTTTTGCATCCATTCTTTACTTTGGATTAAGTTAAAAAATCATTTACAATGGGTTTGCCACTAGCTGTTAAAGACATGAAGCATATGGATAAGTATCAAAAACAAAAGCATGGAAACAATTTACCCTTGACTCTGAGCTACATAGTGGGTTGAGGGAAGAAGTCAATGTTACATATATACTTAAACATATATACTGTATATAATTAAAATGTACTCTATCTCTTACAGAGTTCACACACACCCACACACAGTTTCAGTGCTCTGTGAACTTAAAATGTGGCTCACCTCTGCAGTGAAGAAACTTAGAGGCATTAATATGGAGCCTGGTTTTATCTTTTTTATTTTTATTTATTTATTTTGAAATCAAGATTTGGAGGAGTCTAATTCTCCGCAAATACAGATTCTCTGTATTTCTAGTATATTCCCTTCTGTCTTTTTTTTAAAAAATTGAAGTATAGTTGACTCACAATGTTGTGTTAGTTTCTGATGTATAGCAAAGTGATTGAGATATATATATATATATATTCTTTTTCATATTCATTTCCATTATGGTTTATCACAGGGTATTGAATGTAATTCCCTGTGCTATACAGTAGGACCTTGTTGTTCATCTGTTTTTTTATATATAGTAGTTTGTATCTAGCCTGGTACCATCTTGATCATAGTATACTTCACTAGGCTGGGGGGGGACTCTCAAGGCACATGAAAAACGTTTATTTGACTTAAGTCTCCCAGTTATACGCCTTCAGTTAGTGGCTGGCTGTCACAAAGGGCTTACAGAGACTGTGGTGTTTATAGGTCACCATTGGTGTTGTCCCCTTCACAGTCTCCTGCTCAGGGTGGGAGGTCATATTTCGTTCCACCCTCCTGGTCAGGGGTGGGCACGCAGGCCAAGGTGAGTCAGGCTGCAGATGGGTCAATGGCCTCTAAGATGACTCAATGCCAAGCATCTGCCCAAACTGTCCAGATGGTGACCACACTGGAATAAGCAATTTCTTTGTCTTTAAGAGGATCAAGATGTAGAGAGAGTCGGTGGGTTTGAGAGCAGGTGCTGCAAATACGTGGAGAGGGCCTTCTGCAGATGCCACGGGGCCTCAAAGCCACAAGTAAGCTGAAGTCAAGAGGTAGAGGAAGAGCATGTAGAGCTCCCAGCCATCATGGTAACAGGTGTTCCTTGAATGGGACTTCCTAGGCCAGTGCATTTGGGAAACACCACATGCATATCCTCTCTTGGAGAGTCACAAGGTGCTTTAGTATTTTAAAGATTCTGAAGATCCCACAGCAAGAAACTTGTCTACACACTGTTAACTCAGTGTTTCCCAGATATATTTGACCACGGAACTCTCACCTGTTCCCATTTTACCATGTTCCAGGGAACGATGTTTGGAGTGGGAGCTGGCATGTGGGTGGGAGTAGAAGGAGAAATGGCAGCAGAAACAGAGTGGTGGCTCTGTCGAGTTCCTGGTCGTCAGATCTGTTCCACACTCCAAACTGCATTCTAGTTGTCGTGAGCCAAGGTCTGTCCTTGGGCTGCCATGGTATTTTAGAGTTCCTTATTTCCACCAGTATTCCTATCTCAAACCTCCACTCTTTAAGATGAATTGAGTCTTTTTACTGGTAACTAAGAGACTGACTAATGTAACTGGATGTTAGCTGTGTCTCCCCAGATACTACGACCAGTGACAAATGTCCCTACTTCCTTGTGAGACGTTGGACCACCTATGTGGGATGTGCTAAGAGACCGCGGAACTGGTGTGGCCAGTATTCACCCCTCGTGTGCTTCAGGTGAGGGGGAAGAGGAGGGAGAATCATCATGGGGGTGGACAGTGAGAATCCTTTGGAGAAAGAGTTGTCAGTGTGTCTTCCTCGGGGATGGGGGAGCTGTCTCCCCCAGCGTAGTAAGCCAAATCGGGGGGCCTTCAGAGTTTCAGGTGGAGGGACTGGTGCCTGTTTTCACAAGAGCTGGCAGAATGAAGCAAGAAGGCACTGATGGAGGAGCTGGACTCCCGTGGGTGCAGGAACTAAGGTGTGAACAGGTGAGGACCCATGACAGAGGGAGTGGAACTTTACCATAATAAAGAGAATCTCATGGAGGGGCAAGGTGAACCCAGCATCAAGAGTCTGGAGGTGGACAGTAGGGACACTAGAGCTGAGGGGATGGCATCTGTGGCCAGAATAGGGAAGAACCTTTGTATTCTATTACAAGTTAACCACTAAAGGGATGTTTCCTGTAAGCTTAAATTATACATAATAGCCAATTTCTGGGAACTCTGCCTCCCAGGTAATGAGCACTAAGCTAAAATACCTTTGTTTAGCTCACTGGAAACGTCCTGACCAGGCCCACCTGTGAATGACTGCAGGGAGGAAAAAATTAACACATCCCCTCCGAAGGCTGATGGGAACCAGGAAATGCTTGACTTTACGCCTGCCCGTTTTAGTATAAAAGAAGCCTGAATTCTAACTCAGGCAAGATGGTTCTTTGGGACATGAGCCCACCATCTTCTTGGTCTGCCAGCTTTCTGGAAGTTGCTATTTCTCTTTTTTTTTTTTTTTGCTGTACGCGGGCGTCTCACTGTTGTGGCCTCTCCCGTTGCGGAGCACAGGCTCCGGACGCGCAGGCTCAGCGGCCATGGCTCACGGGCCTAGCTGCTCCGTGACATGTGGGATCCTCCCAGACTGGGCCACAAACCCGTGTCCCCTGCATCGGCAGGCGGACTCTCAACCACTGCGCCACCAGGGAAGCCCTGAAAGTTGCTATTTCTTGCCGCAATAACTCGTCTCTCAGTTTACTGGCCTGTCCTGTGGCGAGCAGTCTGAGCTCGGACTAGGTAACAGTACCATCTATAGCGGTGACTACATCAGGGTCCTTGGTGGGGAGGAGGGTTCCCCTGTGAGGAAGAAGTGTTGGTAATTGTGTGTCTGCTGTGCTGAGGCCTGCTTTTGGATTACAACTCCACCATGGAAGAAGATTTCACTCTCCCCATCTCTTTTCCCTCCTAGCACTCCTGGTCCCTGGGGGACCCAGAGGCAACAGAGGGCACAGTGGAGGAGGCATAGAAGGAGCGGACTACGGCCCATGCATCCCATTCTCAGCAGTTTTCCTAGCAAGGTAGGTCCCAGTTGGGGGAAGAGAGAAGTTTTAACTGAATGTGAGTTTGGAGATTGGCTTTTTGACCAGGCTAGAATTTTTGCCTAAAATGACCACAGGACTTTTATGCTCTGAGGGACTGGAGACTCTCTGAGCCTCAGGTTGGGATGGAGAAGGTCTGCATGTGAGTTTTGCAGAGGACATGCCTTTGGCTCATTCAACCCTGTACTCTACGGACCCAGAGTAGGACATAGCTAAACATCAGTATGTAGTGTTTAGAAGTGTTTACACTGCTTCCTAAGTAACTATGCATGAACTAATTCTAACATGAAAGCTTTTGAACACTTACATTGCATATCTGATTAACACAATCAATTCATACGTGTTCAAGCACTGAACATTGTTAAGCACCTCAGCTGGATACTGGGACTATGAGGGTGAATAGGAGTTGCTTCCTGTCCTCAGAAGCGTGCAGTCTAGTGTGAGAAGCCCTAGTCCAACCTGGGGCTTTCCTCCTTCTGGCTGTAGAAGAATCACAGTGCTGTTGGTTTAAATGTATCGTCACTCCTAAGTCTGATTTGGTAGGTCTGTGTTGGGGCCTAAGAATCTGCATTTTAACAAGTATCTTGTTCTAAGACCACCCATGGAAAAATAATATAATAATATTATTTATATAAAAATAATATATATAATATATAACATACATAATATATATAAATTATATATATTAAAATATATAAAGTTATATATATATAATATAATAATAATCTAGCCTTCTAATCAGCACCACATACCAAAGCAGTTTAAAATATAAATTTATTTATTTATCTGTTTTTATTTTTGGCTGTGTTGGGTCTTCGTTGCTGCACCCAGGCTTTCTCTATTTGCGGCAAGGGGTGCTACTCTTCCTTGCGGTGGGAGGGCTTCTCATTGTCGTGGCTTCTCTTGTTGCAGAGCACGGGCTGTAGAGTGCAGGCTCAGTAGTTGTGATGCACAGGCCCAGCTGCTCCGTGGCATGTGGGATCCTCCCGGGCCAGGGCTCAAACCTGTGTCCCCTGCCTTGGCAGGCAGATTCTTAACCACTGCGCCACCAGGGAAGCCCCAAAGCAGTGTTTACTGCATTAGAACATGCATTACTGACTGCCACAGAATTTGCACCTAGGATAGTATTACCCACTTGGATAAAGTTTCTGCCTGTTCTTCATTACATCAAATGAAAACAGCTGGATAGATTTTCATCAAATTAGAAGAGCATGTTTGGGCTTGTCTGACTTAAAAGACAGGGTAAAGGAAATGAACTTTGGGAGTTCCTAAGGAGGGGGTCCTTTGCAGAGAGGCAGCCACCTTCAGAGCAGTGTCAGGCACTAAATTCTGACAACGCTGCTTTTCCCAAGAGCAGGCTGGGCTTAGGGTGGAAGCAGCAGGAGTTTATTGATTTAACGGTGGTTAATGATTGATGTGAGTGGCCTTGGGGAGGCCAGGTACCTGATAACAGAATTTTCACAAAAAAATATGCAGGAGAAAATGGACTATAAGTGTGTGAACACAGAATTTTAATCCCCATTCAGCTGTTCGTCATGGAAATTTGGCCAAGGGTTCTTGCTTTCTCTGTTTTCCTGATTTTATAATTAGGACACTGCTGACTCTTTTTCATAAGGTTGTTGTAAGGAGTCATGAATGAAATGCCGTGTGAGCACTTGGAAACTTTATAAAGATGAGTATTTTTTTGAAAAGATGAGTTTTGTTGTATGTTAAAAATGCGGAATAAGTTAAATTTTATTGCAATATCTTGGACTTGGTTTAATCTGGCTTCCCTTATGGTGTATTGTTTATTTTCCTTATCGTCTATTTTGATGACTCGGTTTACAAGTGTGGTGCAATTTTGAAATCACATGTGATTAGATTGAAAACATGTAACATGGGAACCAGGGCAATTGGAAAACAAAGGGTAGGCGTATTTTTAGAAAGCCGAATAGGACTTTTAGAGATAAAACAAGCGTGGAGAAGTATGCTAAGCAACCGACTATGGACTTACAAATAGAGGAGTTCATTCTTTTGGTTATTAATTTGCTAAGGGGCCTTGAGCCATGAATATAGATGAAATCTATGAAAAATTGACACATGTATTTAAATCAGGGCAATATATCACCACACCTAAGAGATGGTGCAATATGAAAGTCTTAAATATTTAACATAATGCTATGCCATATAATTACATGTATGGCATTATCTTTAATAGGAGCTGATTAATGAGGGTGACATAAAGCAAGGATGAATATTAGCTATTCAGACACTGATGTTCAGAGAGCCACCTGAATAGTCATTTTTCCTCTAAGTCCTATTCCTTAAGGATTATAGAAATGTCAATTGTTTTTGCAGAGTTTCCATTTCAAGAAGCAGTTATTCATAATCCCCAGAGAACTCTTCCTTAACAGACTACAATAAAACTTAGACTTGATGGTGGTGACATTTTAGACCTAAATTACTGCCTTCACGGTTTAAATAATTATCCTGCTATGTCTGTGCAAGGGACTTTCAAATTATTCACTTCATTCCTGGCTTATCTCTCATCTCCACCACTTGACCAGTTTCTTGTCCCTTACAACTGAATGCAGGAGGCTGAATTTCTATTTTCCCCTTAAAATTATCCTGCTTGTTAGTAGTACTTCCAGGGTATTTCATCTAAAATAGTGTTTTTAGCAATTCTTCTCAAAGGTCATCTCTGACTGTCCAATTCTTTTTTCATTTTGGCACTGAATAGCAGCTATGCACTGGTCCATCCTGGGATTTATATGTTTCTTCATCTCTCTTTCTCTGTTTCTGTACTTTCTTCCTCAATGGTGATTCTCTTTCTTTCTCTCTCTCCATACATATATGTGTGTGTGTGTGTATATAAAATTAAAAAAAATTATTTATTTATTTGGCTGCATCAGGTCTTAGTTGCGGCACATGGGATCTTTTGTTGTGGCGTGTGGGCTCTTCATTGTGGCACGAGGGCTTCTCTAGTTGCAGTGCGCAGGCTTCTCTCTAGCTGTGGCATGAGGGCTCAGTAGTTGTGGTACGCGGGCTAGGTTGCCCTGTGGCATGTGGAATCTTAGTTCCCTGACCAGGGATCGAACCCTTGTCCCCTGCATTGGAAGGCGGATTCTTAACCACCGGCCCACCAGGGAAGTCCTTATAATTTTTTTCTTTACATAGAGTTTTTGTGAGCAGTTTTAGGTTCACAGCAAAACTGAATGGAAGGTACATATACCCCCTGCTCCTACACATGCATAGCCTCCTCCATTATCAATGTCTCCCACCAGAGTGGTATATTTGGTACCACTGATGAACCTACACTGACACATCATAATCACCCAGCGTCCATCACTTACATTACTCTTGGTGTTGTACATTGTATGGGTCTGGATAAATGTCTAAGGACATATATCTATCTTATAGTATCATATAGCAAAGCAGTTTCACTGTGTTCTACCTATTCATCCCTCCCTCCCCCTAACTGTCAAGTTTTAAAATAAATAATTGTTCAGTGCCTGTTATCTACTAGGAATGGACTAGTTACTTAAAAAACAAACTAAAAATAAGGTCCTATGTTATTAAGAATCTTACAGTCTGTGGGAAACCAATTATGTAAATAATTAACCTAATGTAATACGCTAAATTGCTTTAAAGTGGTTGTGTATCAGTGTCAGTGGTGCCATGGGAGAAATGGAGCTCATAAGTCAACCTGGGGAATGTCAAGGCAGCTTTCCAACAGACCTATCGTCTCTCTCTCTCTTCTTAAAAAAAAAAATTATTTATTTATTCGGTTTTGACTGCTTTGGGTCTTTGTTGCTGCGTGCGGGCTTTCTCTAGTTGCGGAAAGCAGGGGCTACTCTTTGTTGCGGTGTGTGGGCTTCTCATTGTGGTGGCTTCTCTTGTTGAGCAGCATGGGCTCTAGGCGCATGGGCTTCAGTAGTTGTGGCATGTGGGCTCAGTAGTTGTGGCTTGTGAGCTGTAGAGTGCAGGCTCAGTAGTTGTGGTGCACGGGCTTAGTTGCTCCGCAGCATGTGGGATCTTCCCAGACCAGGGCTCGAACCCACGTACCCTGTATTAGCAGGCAGATTCTTAACCACTGTGCCACCAGGGAAGTCCCAGACCTATCTTCTCTAGTAGGAATGTATGTATGCAGTGTGGAGAGTGGTTGGTATGGAGGTGGCAGGGGATGGCATCTAAGCTGAAAGAATGACATGTGCAAATGCCCAGCCTCTCTGGAGGTTAAGGGGTGCTCAGAGTGACCACAGGAGTGTAGTATGTTTGAGGAACTGGCTGTGTGGTGGGGTGCAGAAGGAGATGAGACTTGGAAGGAAAGCGGGGACAAAGGTCGTGAAAGACCTTGAATATCATGCAAAAGGAGTTTATTAGATTTTGTCTTGGAGGCATTGGGGAGCCACTGAAGAAGCTTGAGCAGTATACTGATACGATTTTTTTAAAAATTGAAGTATAGTTGATTTTCAATGTTGTGTTATTTTCAGGTGTACAGCGAAGTGATTCAGATATATATATTCTTTTTCAGATTCTTTTCCCTTATAGGTTATTACAAAATATTGACTATACTTCCCCGTATGTTAGAAAAATCTATTCTTGTGGAAGGGTGGGAAATAGACTAGAGGGCAGCAAAATTGGAGACAAGAAAGGCCAGTGAGGATGCTTCCATAATATTTAGTTAGGGAGACAAAGAGGGCAAGAATCGTACAGTGGGGAGGAGATGGAGAAGAGAGATTTAGGAGGTACACAGGATTTAGTAATGATTAGATATGGGGAAAGAAAGAGGGAAGTTTCTGGCTTGGTCAACTTGGCATTTACGAAGATAGAGAAGACAGAAAAGGGAACAGGATTTTTCGGGGGGGGGGTTAGGGTGGGGTGCGTGGCAGGGATTGAAAAGTGGAAAGATGTGTTTGGCTTTGAATAACATTGAGTGTGCGGAGCTGCTGGGACATTCAGGTGGAGTGTCGAGCAGAAAGTGGGCTGCACAGTTCTGGAGCTAAGAAGAGAGTTCCAAGCTGGAGACATTGGCTTGGGAGTCATGTTTGTCCATGGGTGTGGTAAGTGTGAGTAGAACAGGCAAGTATGAGCAGAGCTGAGTAAGAAGAGTCAGAAGACAAGAGGAATAAGGAAAGGAGCCCAGGCTGTAGACATCAGGACTGTTCAACTCTAAGTATTTCAACTTGAGTCTCTCAAGAACAAGAAGATCCTCCTAGACAACCATGACATCGTTATTACACTTCAATTTATTATTTCAATAACATTCAAAATCTTGTCCATACTCAAATTCCCGAAGCTGTTTTAAGATGTTTTTTAAAATCCAATCTCTACTCAAGTTTCATGCATTGCACTTGACTGTTACCTTTCTTTTCTTTTTTTTTTTTTTTTCGCTGCGGCGTTGAGTCTTCATTGCTGCACACCCTCTCCAGGCCCTCTCCAGTTGTGGCGAATGGGAGCTACTCTTCGTTGTGGTGCGCGGGCCTCTCATTGCGGCAGCCTCTCCCATTGCAGAGCATGGGCTCTAGGCATGAGGGCTTCAGTAGTTGTGGCATGTGGGCTCAGTAGTTGTGGCTTGCGGGCACTAGAGCGCAGGCTCAGTAGTTGTGGCACACGGGCT